CCGCCCCCTCGGCGAGCCCGGGGCCCGGGAGAGGCCCGCCGCCTGCAGCCGAGGCCAGGCCGGCACTTGCGCGACCGCCCCTTGCCGCTCTCCCCCGCCCGCTCCGAGGCCCGGGCAGGGAGCGTCATGAAATTCCCATCTCCTGGGGACCTGGCGCGGCTCGGGGATCCCCCGGGTGGATGGTTGCGACGCGCAGAGTTGGGCCCCGGAGAAGGCAGGCGAGTGGCCGAGACAGCCGGAAAGTTAGGGCAAGGAGGCCCCCAGTAGCCTAGTCGTAGGAATAGGCCGCTGCGGCCCCGCTCCCACCACCTGCTGTGTAACGCCCCCCGGGGCGTCGTTCCCGGGATGTGGGGGTCAGGGTGAGACGGGGGTGACCCCTCTCCCCGGAAGCGGGCTGGGAACGCTGCCTGCCCCGGCTTGGGGACTCCGCGCTGGCCTCGGCACACGCAGACCTGACGCCCCCGCGGCGCTCCTCGTCCTTCCCCGGCTTCCCTTTGCTGCTGGCAGGTGCCATCCTGTCGGTTCCGACTCGGCGCGACCCCACGCACGAGAGGACGGAACACGGCGCGGTCCCGCGCCGGCCTCTCGGTCCGTGCCATGTGGAGCCGGCGGCCCAGCCACTGCGTCAGCCCCTGTGGTGCTGAGACCCTGCCCCTCTTTCGCTGACCCTGTGCCCAGCGGGGAGCCCTTCTCCAGACACTGGTCCTCCCGGCCTGTGAGGTGGGGCGGTTCCAATGGCCGCCTTAGGCTCGCTGCGAGGATGCTTGGTCGTGCTTTCAGCCCAGCGCCCGGCCATTGGAAGGGCTCGCTGTGAGAGCAGCGTTCCTAGCATTGGAGGTCAGACGGTGAGGGGCCAGCCCCTGGGGGGCTCTTTCCTTCTCTGGGACACGGAGGCCTTGTCGTTCCACCCAAAAGGAGGTCAGAACATAGAACTGGGGCCCAGCACAGTGCTTGGCACAAGATGGACGGCCAGGAAAATGAAGGGAGAAGGCAGGTGTCGAGGGAGACTGCCTTGGTTCCATCTGCTTCTTGGTCCTGGAGTTTTGGTGGCCCTCGGGAGCCCGTGAGGCAGAGAGAAGCTGAACGCATGCAGAGGGGAACCCAAACGCTTGTGTCACCTCGCCGGCTGGGACCACACTCCTGCACGCCCCTCCTCTCACTCTGCAGCCACACTGCCCCAGATCAGAAAGCCCAGGGGGAGCCGCCTGCCCCAGATCCGTGTTTTCCAAACCTACTGCTTCACTGGTGGGGCATTGGGCAATGTAACAAAACAGCCTCCTCGTAGCAAACGGAGCTACAGAGAGAAATTTGGTCCACCTGTCTTGTGTATCTAGGCACCAGGTTACCAGCCCCTGGGTCCTGCAAATGGTTGAGGGCTCAGCTGTGGCCTGGAAGGTTGGGGGTTCGGATCTACCCAGAGGTGACTCGGAAGAGAGGCCTGGTGATCTGCTTCTGAAACCAGCCACTGAGAGCCCCCCGAGCAGTGCCACCCCCAGCACAGGAGGCGGGGAGCCGGGAGCCGCTAGAAGGTGTTCGTATGCCACGTTGCTGCACAAAGCATGTTTCTCACTCTGGGTTGTGAATAGCAACCCAGGCTTGGAAACCCTCTGCCTACAAGACACAAGGGAGCCCTGGTGGCTTAGCGGGGGGAAGGCACTGGTCTGCTAACCAAAAGGGTGGTGGTTGGAGCCCACCTGCCACTGCAGGGGAAATGGCGCAGCCCTGGAAACCCTGTGCGGTAGGTCCAGTTGTCTAAGGGCGCTGTGTCGGAATCCACTCTCCGGCAGTGGATTCAGGTTTTTGGTTTCGAAGACAAAGGTCACCCAGAGCAGAGCTGGGACTTAAAACCAGTGCCAGACGCCCAACCTGCCCATTCCCCAGCCAGGCACACCGAGGTCTCCCCACTGCTGGGTGCCCTTGCCAAAGACCAACTCAGCTGCTCCAAGTGGGAACCGTGTTTATTAGTTGTGCAGGCTGGGCCCCGGCTGGGGGTGGGAGGTGGGTTCGGGGCGGCCTACAACATCCAGATGCAGCCCCAGGAAGCCGGTGCGGACTCCTGGTGGCCCTGGGCCACCGAGGAACACCCCGCCCCTCCTGTCAGGCCTCCCCTCGGGCACGTCTCATGTCTCTGGAGCCAGAGGGCTCCACTCTGTGCCTGCGGGAGGGGGGGTGTCTTGCTCCCGTCAGACCCCCAAAACTCCGAGAACCTGAAGATGGCAAGCAGCCCCTCCTTCTGGCGGGGCGGGGCCTCCCGGCTGAGGCCCGGGTGTCTGAGGGCCCAGGAGTCCCTGGGCTCCCGGCGGCCCCCGGCTGCGGTGGCTCATGGATGCTTCTGTTGAGTTCCCCTTCACCAAGGCTCCCCCAACCCAAGTCAGGGATAACGCCACCCAAAATCACTCACGAAAGACGTCTCTTGATGCAAAAGCAGGAGGAGTTTATTCCCAGCGCGCTGGGGCTCGACTCATACCCCACGCAGAGGCAGAGGAGTGGAGCCGCCAGCAACCAAGTTACACAGTATTTAAAGGCAAAACTACAAGGGGGTGGTCAGAGAGAGAGTACAGCTGATTGGCAAGTTTAAGTTTGAATTCTCCAATTACATGGTATGGTTGAGTTCAGGGCTTAGTCATCCTTGCCTTGCCCCTGTTCCTGGACCTGGGGCCCGCCCTTTTGCTGGCCTTAACCGTGGCCTTTTATTGCAAAGCTCTATCAAGTATTACATTTCCAATTTCGTATTTACGTGTTTAATTCCACACTTCCAGCGGGCATGCTTCTGCAGCGTGGCCAGCTCCATGAAGCGGCGCGGGCAGTACGGGCACTGGAACGGGCGCTCCCCCGAGTGCACCCGTCTGTGCTGGGCCAGCTCGCCCGCCTCCCGGAAGCGGCGGGGGCAGAGGGGGCAGCCGTAGGGCCGGCCGCCGCCCTCGCGGTGGATGGAGTGGTGCCGCGTCAGGTGGCTGGCCCGCTTGAAGGCCTTCCCGCAGGTGTCACACTCGAAGGGCTTCAGCTCCGAGTGCGTGATGCTGTGTCGCTGGAGGTAGGACATGTACTCGAACATGCGGGAGCACACGGGGCAGCTGTACCACTTCTTCGGGGCCGCGGCGCCCTCGGCCCCGGGCCCTCTCTGCGCCTCCTCGTCCACCAGCACCGTGTAGGGGACGCCCTGGGTGTCGATGAGCAGGTAGTGGTTGGGGCGCACAGGCGGAGAGGTCTGCGGGGATCCGCTGGACGAGGACGGCCCAGGCTCCGGGGACCGGCCGGTCCGAGGGCGCGGGCCCTCCATGGCCTCGAGGGAGGGCAGTGCCTGCGGCTGGGGGCAGGGGGGTGGCAGCACCAGCATCCGGAGGGGTGGCTGAAGGCCGCTGCAGTGGAGAGAGGCGGTTAGAGACCCGAGGCTCCGGCCCCGCACCCCTCCCGCCCGTGTCGGTCCTGCGGCCGGTCCACGCACCCCGGACTCCGAGGCCCTCTATGGGGCCCCTAAACGGACAAGAAGCGGCCGCGGTCCAGTTGATCCCGGTGACGCCACAGGGCAGACTAGAACCACCCCGTGGGGTTTCCAAGGTTGTGGTCTGAGGCGCACGGTGGCGCAGGACCGGGCGGGGTTTCCTGCCGTCGTACCCCGGGTTACGACCCGACGGCTCCTAACAGTCTACAGGAGCGGACTGCCACGTCTTTCTCCCGCGGAGCGCCCACTGGGTTCGAACCGCTGCCCTTTCGGTGGGCAGCTGAGCGGTTCACCGCCGCGTCACCCGGGCTCCTCCGCTGGCTCCTAGGGTCGCTCCTCGGAAAAGCCCTAGGTGTCCTGCCGCCGCGGCCCCAGCGCCCCGCTCGCCGCCCCTCGGCGTCCTCCTCTGGGGGCCCCTCCACTCTAGCCACCCCCAGGGCGTCTCTATGCTCCGCTCGCTGGACCGCCAGGCCTCCTCCCCCCGCGTCCCGCGCGCCCACTCCCGGCCCCACCCCGAGCAGCCCTCCCCACGCCCTCCATGGCGCTGCCACGTTCGGAGCCCCGGGCCTAAGCCGCCCTTCAGCCGCCTCCCGGGCCTCGCCCGCCCGCCGCTGCTCGC